CATCTTCTCCTGTCCCACCTTCTCTTTTCTCTCTTTCCAAAGCCCCGAGGGTTCCAGGGCCTGTCTATGGTGTTTCTGGTTTGAAGGCTCCTTCCCCTGAGAAGCCCCACGTTTCCCGAGGAATTGTGGAGAGGCCCAAGCACAGGAGCAGGGCCTCCAGGCGTGGCCCATCCCCGAGGGAGCTTTAGGGGTGAAAGTCGGGATGCGACATGAGCCCTGTGGTGTCCATGAGAGTGCTACACCCTCTTCTGGGCCAGGCTGAGCTGAGCCCTGACGGCAGTCCCCTCGTCCAGTCCCTACAGCAACCCTGGAGTAATCAGTGACCCCCACTTTATAGGCAAAGAAACTGGGGCCCAGAGAGGCCAAGGTGCTTGCTTGAGGAAACACAGCTTGTGATGCGACCAAGATCGGGACTCAGGTCTGTCTCAGGGAGGTGCCGGTGGCTGTCTAAGGTCACAGATTAGTGAGAACAAGGTTTTCCAAGACCCTGCTCCCTTTAAAAACTTCTTTTATTAATTAGTTTTTCCCGCGCTGCGCTGTCTGCGAACATCACGTCCAGGGAGGAAGGAACACTTTGTAACTGCTGGAAACGTGATCGCGCCATAAGCTCGTAAAGGGACAGAGGCACCGGCCTGGGGAGCCGCCTGGTCATTTGCTCCGATGACAGTGTCTGAGCTGTGGTGCTTTTATCTGAAGGGAAGCCCGCTCTGCCTCCTCCCAGGGACCCGCACTCCCCGAACCCAGTTTCCATCCCTTGACTCATGTCCAGCAGCCCTGGCCAGCCCCCGGCCTGCTGGGGCCGAGTCTGCAGGACCCCTGCTCGCTCCATGCAGGTGGCTCCCGGCCCTTCCGGCCAGGCTCAGGCGTCCTCCCTCAGACCCCTCTGTGGGACCATTGGCCTTTGGACTTGTCACTTCCACGCTGCCTCATCCCCAGACACCTGCAGACTATCCCATGAGACAGCAAATACCAGGAAGGAAATAACCAGCCCAGAAACCCAGGCCGCCAGGGACGAGCGGGCCACCGCACTCCTGCATCGGCCCTTTCCACACACACTTACTGAGGGCCCGGCGGTGCCAGGCCTTGTCCTGGGGCCTGCCACACTGGGAACAAGACAGGAAAGCCCTCATACTCTAAGTAGTTAAGTAGCGGGTATGGTGTGGGATGCTGACCGTGGTGTGGCGAGCGGTGTGAGGAGGGACGCAGGGTGGGGTGCTGGGATTCTGAGCTGGGATTGGGGAAGCCTTACTGAGACTCGCTACGTGGGTGAGGGAGACAGCCACTGCGTATTCTGTGGGGGGGCTTTCCAGGGAGAGGGGACAGCCGGTGCAAAGGCCCGGGCATCCTGGGCAGGCTGAGAGGGTGTGGTCAGGCAGTGGAGCAACCAAGGTCACTGGGACCAGGCCCTGTCGGACACTGAGGGTCCCCTGCTTTCGTGCTGTGAGTCAGGAGCTGTTGAGGGCTTTGGCCGCTGGCAGGGTGGGGGTGCCTACGTGTGTAATGGCCTCACGTGGCTGCCGTGTGGATAGTGGGTGTGGGGACAGAGGCGAAGGACCCATGGCAGTCCCTGCAGTCACCTGCAAGCACCGTGCTGGTGGTAAGGCCAGGCTTATAGTGACAGGAAGCGGCAAGAAGGGACCGCGCTGGAGACAGCTCGGAGGTGGACCAGGGAGACCTGTGGATGCACCCACAGGAGGAGCGCATGGAGCGTGGGGCGAGTGTGGGAGGGCGAATCCCAGGTGTTGGTCCGAGCTGCCGGAAGGGAAAGGGTGTCCGGGGCAGGTAAGCACAGTGGTGGTACTTGTGCCAGGCCCCAGGTCCCGGCCATGGCGGTCTCAGGCCGCCCTGGGGAGGCCAGCAGGAGCAAGTGCCAGTGTGTGGTGAGACCAAAGAAGGGGGTGGTGAGTGTACGTGTGCTGTGTGTTTATATTATGTACACACATGTGGTGTGCATGTTGTTTGTGTGTGCGTACGTGTATTCCCTGTGTATGGCGTGTGCGTGTGTGCATGGAAAATGTGGTAAGCTTACGCATTGTGGCGTAAGGTGTGTTCTGTGTGTGCGTGTGTGCTCTGTGTGCTCTGAGCACGTGTGTGTGTGTGAATGGTGGGCACAGGCGATGCGTGAGGCATGTGCTGTGTGTTCCGTGTGGGTGCGCTCTGTGTGCCTGAGTGCACGTTGGTGTATGAGTGCATATGGGGTGTGCGAGCAGTGAGTGTGCATGCTATGTATGCTCTGCATGCATATGAAGTATGTGTGTGTATACACGGGGTGTGTGTGGTGTGTGTGTGCACATGCAGTGTATGATGCATGTGCTGCGCATGTCCTGTGTGTGCTATCAGCGTGGTGTGCATGTGTGCATGCTCTGTGTGTGCGTATGTGTGCTTGTGGTTTGTGTGCCCTATGTGTGCTATGCTTTGAGTGCGCATGCGTGCTCACGGTAGGGACTCTAGTGCAGACTGGGTACAGCCCCGCCAGGACAGCCCCCTTCACGCGGGGCCACCCAGTGCCACTGCTGCTGCATCAGGCCTGGGGACAGCGCTGGGGCCAGAGGGCTGACCCTCCCCCTTCAACCTAAAGGCTCCCCGGCTTCCCCGGAGCAAATCCTAGGACAGGTTCCAATACAACGAGGACGGACGGCGCAGTTCAGAGCGTGAGCATGTGCTCTTCCGCGGCGTGTTGTCTAATGTCGCGAGGGTGAGACGCCTTGCCCCCAGGCAGCACGTGTCTGCACGGCACCCTGGTTTTCTTTGGAGAGAGGGAGGGTCTTTTCGACAGGGTCCTGCTGTTCCCATCCTCTTCTTCAGCTTCCCGGTTAGCCAGGAATGTGGGTGCCCTTGGCCTGGGGTCCGAACCTGGGCCACGCCGTGACCCCAGCCTCAAACAGCTGGGCCTACCACTTGTGCCACTGTGGCTGGGCCTGCACCCCTGAATTTTGATGCTACAGGACATCGGATGAGATTGTGAGCCTAAGAATTCAAACTATTCTGATCGTAACCGAAGTCTCTAGTAAGAAGTTCCGCCCGAGGGAGCACTGCCAGGTGCAGTGACAGCAGGTGGCTCGGAAGGAGATCCGCTTCCACCTCCAGCCCCTGTCCGTGTGGGGTGTCTACTTCCGGTTGCTACCTAGCCCTCCCACGGCCTCCCCACTCACAGTGTTCCAAGACAGGACCCTAACAGGGCAGGGAGACGCAGAGGGGGCGCACAGGGCCCTCAGGGTGGGGAGAACTTGGTGCCACGCAGTGCCAGGGCAGCCGGCCTGTGGGCCTCTTAGAGGATTATCTGGTCTCTTTCCCGCCCCAGCCTGCGGCTGCCCCGCTAATCCCAGGGGTGGGAAGAGCTCACAACGGCACCCCTCTGATTCCTCCACCTCTTCCCCTCCCAGGTTCCCAGAGGCAGGGCTACCTTATCCACACATAGTCTGGCCCCTGACCCTCGCCGCAGTCAGGGGGCAGATGGAAACAAGCTCAGCATTGTTCAGTGACCTGCCCAAGATCGCACAGCGAGGAAGCAGAGGACAGGAGCTTGTGTTTTACCCTGTCTCTAGAGATGACCCCTGTGACCCAAGACGACCAAGCACAACCACTCGTCTGGCTCAGAGGGGGCTGCATCTTTTCCAGAGTCCCCCGGCACACCAGGGTGGAATGGCTCCTAGTGCACAGTTCCTGCTGCCGGGCTCCTTTCTTCCAGGCCTCCAGAGAATGCCTCTGGAAGTCCCGGGAGGCTTCCTGGAGGGGGCGTTGAGGGTCAAGCTCCAGCCTCAGGCCCTGACCCTGCTGCTGACCTTCCCTCCTGCTTCCCTTTGGGCAGCCAGCTGCAGGAGAGCTGGAGGGGGCGGTGCAGCCCCTCCCACCCAGTCTCTGTCCGTCCCCACAGGGACAAGAGACCAGGAAGCGCTCGCCCACACTCATCAGCCAGTTCAAGCGGTCGCTGGAGCTGCTGATGCGCACACTGGGAGCCTGCCAGCCCTTCTTCGTGCGCTGCATCAAGCCCAATGAGTTCAAGAAGCCCATGGTGAGCGGCCGTGGTCTTGGGCTGGGGTGGGCCGGGAGGGACTCTGTCTTCTCCGGGGATGGCGGAGCACCTGACAGCCTCCTTAAACCAGGGCCCTGCTTTGTTGGCAGCAGCAGGTGCTCTGGAAAGAGCTGGGACTCTGTGAAGGGCTTACTACAGTTCCTGCCCTGGCTCTGGCACTCATAG